GAGAGAGAGAGAGAGAGAGAGAGAGGGAGAGAGACAGAGAGAAATCTAGCTTTCTTCTATTCTTGGCTTTTCCAAACAAATTGAAATTCACACAATTTGAACAAAACTGGTAAGATGATACCCCTGCTATTGCTGACTAGTATTGTTGTAGGTTGCGAAAAAAGACTCAAAATTTGAGACCTCTGCTCTTCTAGCTTCTAGGGCTAAGCAAAGCATATAAACAGGTGCTTCACAATGCATGTTAGTGCAAATATACCTTTACAGAAGAAAATCAAAGTAAAAAGATAAGGAGGAAAATTGAATACCAGAGAGCTGATATATCTAGAACTATTTATAAAACCTACCTTTGTGAAATAGGCATAGCCCTTTTGTTCATCTCAGACTGATCATAAAGGAGCAGTCAAGAATGGCAAAACATGCCAAGAAATCACAAGGAACAAAGGGCTATGTTCTTCCATTTAATGTTCTTCAGTTGGGGAGACATTGAATGAGAACTGAAGTAAAAATATGTCTATGGAGCTGTAGAGTATTCAGAAGTTGTATTTCACCTGGAGGACAATAATTTTTTCTATTCTTCTAATTTCACAATTTTTTTTATTGAATATGTATATACATTTTGTGAATGTAAAATGTAAAAAATGTTATATAGTTTCCTAGCTTGGGAATAGGGCAGTGTGATCCATAGGAGAATTGATAGGAAACAACATTGATGTCAGCAACAGGCCCATATTCTTCATCTAGTTACTTAGCATTTTCCACAATTTCTTCAATGATATTTCCCCTCTCCTTCAACAGAAATCCTACTTTGGGAAGTGATCCTTTTTTATCAAGATCAGTTGAAATCCCTTGAATATCTTGCAGAGTTACCAGTTGTGGCCAGGCAAGACTTCAGCCATTTGGAAGGGTTGGATCAGAAGTTTGTCCTTGGATAATTCATCCATGATCAAAATAGTTAGGATGTCTCAGAGGACCTGACTAAATATTTTGTACTTCATGGGCCACCTCATTATGCTTCTTATTCACAAAGTATGATATTCAATGTGGAGTCTAGAGAATCCACAGATGGATATATGTCTAGTTCAGCAATAGCAAGGAATAGATCAATTTCTTAGTGGCATCCAAAGGTAAATCTGGTTGCAGAGGCTGGGTTGATTAAATCAACTGCTGTTACACAGATCACCTTGTGCAGGCCTTTAACCTTTTCAAGTTATTGGAATCCTTTTCAGTGGGCCTTTTCAGTGCCAGTTTTCCCTTGTAGGAAGATCCACTTTCCCACAAGGAAGGGAGAAGCAAGTCTTCTGCTGTCAGCTTTACAATCAGTGTAATATTCCTATAATAATGAATAATCCCTTTTCAGTGTAATATTCATATCCAGGTGCTAGAGCACATTACCATGGTGCATCTGAGTAGACTCTGCCGAGCAAGGCAGATATCTCAGATTCAGTCAGTGTGAAATTGAAGATGGTGCCAATGCACAAAACAGTGCATCTTAGTTGTCCTAGTCTCTAAAACATTTAATAGTCAGTCCAGTTAAAGCAATCTTGCCACAAAATCAGATGGTCTTTGTAAACAGTTGGGGCCTCAGACTCAATAACCTCACGGTACAAATAATTTATTTATTCTGCAGGTTCTTTCTCCAACACTAGCAAACATCAGATAGCCACCATGAGCTTCGTCAGCATAGATATTGGAGCTGTTTCATCCGTATTGCTTCTTGTTATATTAATGATTTTGCCAAAGCTATCAGGTCCTTCGTTGTTGTTGTTCAGTCGTTGTGTCCGACTCTTCGTGACCCCATGAACCATATAGCGCCAGGCCTTCCTGTCCTTCACTGC